AGTTTGGTCTCTGATGCTTTGTTGACGATGTAGCTGAGTCTCAACAAACTTTGTCCAAACGTTGTCAAGGGGGCTGTTGTTTGAGGATTCCCAAGCAGCTGCGTCGACGAGTTCTTTCAATACTTGGTAGCGTGTAATTGTGTGAGTTAGTTACGTGTGTTCCGATGGAGACTGCATAACGCACATAGATGAACGTTATTACTACATGGTCACTGAGACCTAATGGAGCATCCATCAATAACTTGTCAACCATGAGCTCTTCATTTGTGAGCACAAGGTCCAATATGGACGTTTTGTTTGCTGTCCTGAATCTAGTGGGGGTGGTGACATGATTGTACAAGGGAATATTAGTGATCAGTTCATGCAAGTGTGCTTTGAACTATTCACTAGGTGATGCCGATACCTCCAGATCATATAGATTGAAGTCCTCGGAGATGAGAATATGGCTGCATCTAATGCGTGTTAGTCTGTTCAGAATATGTATCAAGCGGAAATCCATTTCTGGAGTGGAAGTTGGCGGGGGGGGCTTGGTAAACGACAGCTACGAGGTGTGCGTCGTTGTGTCTTACTCGGAGACGGCACCAGAGTGAGTCGGTAACGTGTGTTTCCAGATCATCAACTATTGCATTTTGCAGGTAGCTGCGGTAGTAGAGTAGGACCCCACCTCCTCTGCTGGGGCCGTCGTTCCGGATGAGTGACATTCCGGCTATTTCAACCTCAGCATCAGTCACCTCTTGGTGTAACCACGTTTCGGTAATATAAATTAGGTCCCAAGTAATCGCAACCTGACGTAGCCGAAGTTCGGTAAGTTTACTGTGAAGCGCTTGGGCGTTAGTGTACCTACATGAAAGCTTCTCAGCTTTAAGCAAGGTTTCGAAGGTTGTACAAGTCACACGTGAAGTTTCACCGACCAGTGAGTGGCCGGCGACTAATCGTTTTTTCGATGTGTACTTGGTGAAAGGTTTAACGTTCTATTCATCTTCCGTGTAGTTAGCCCCATGTCTAATGTTCTATGTAGAGTGTAAATGTGTCTGATCAATATCAGCTTCTACAGGTTGTATGGGCTCATTCGACAAACTACTTGTGCATTGTTCTTTCATAGATCCCATCGCGTTCGGTTCTTTGAGTGACATATCATCCCTAGGAGGCATACTGCTGACTGTCTTCAACCGAAGCGCAGATGGTAGCCTGCAACGGAACATGTACCAGTTTTTAGCAGCCGTGCTACCATATGTTTTGATTGAAGCACTACCTTCAACACTCTCGGACCACTTCCTTTGTAGTTCGGTGAGGTACGCAGTCGTGACACGGATTTCGCTAACACATCATCCAAGCAGAGTGTTTCACGAATATAACACCACTGTTCTTTATCATGGGTTGTTATTTCATGCTCATCACATGTTTCAGTTTCAGGAATTCCATGAACAAGTATGGTTCTGGTTGCAGTTTCCTCCTGGTACTCCCCTAAGATGCGGTTAATTAGATAACGCTCGCACCATGGGATGTCTGGAAAGATACGGATGGAGTAGTGTCCATTTCTGAGACTACCTGTCGACAGTAGTACTGACTCTGCTTTAGTGATGGTGTTAAACACAACGTGCAGAAGTATTGGCTCTCCGAAATGCTTAGAGTTGGACTGTCACGTAATACGCATTACGTATACAGGTTTCAGTACAACTCCGATTAGGTTACTAATAATATCCCACTGGTTGAGGTCATCCAACTGCCTGCATCTTATTGATGTCGACTTTGATTCTGGGATATTGGAGCACAATAGGCTCAGTATAGGTAGTTGTTTCTTTACACCTATCTACATGTCGCGGTTTGTGATTGAAGTACTCGGAGATGTACCGCAGGAAACCGGTGGTGCTTGCACTAGGAAAACTTCGCAACTCTTCTCAGTTTCCGATGCAGTTGGGGGTGATACTAATTTTAAACGACGGCTCTTGTTGGAAGCAACCGTAATCCAACTTTCGTTTGTACCGGGTTGCTTTTTTTCTACGCACTCCATCGGGAGTTTAGAAGTAGCCTTATGTGTAGTTACTCCGATCGAACTGGGAGCCGCATTAGTCAAATGTGAGCCAAGTGTGGTATTGGGACAGCTGTTGATGTTCTGGACTCTAGGTGTAGTGTTGCTTACGGTGTTATTAGCAGTTCTTCGCGGGATAGGAGCAGCATTTAAAGGGAAGGATTGGGTTGCACAGTCCGCTATGCTTACCCCAACCCCAGTGATTTTGGTGGTCACCATTTCCTCAAACTTGGCTAGTAGCTCATCGCACTTCTGAGATAATAGGAGCACGCTTTTTATAAGTGAGACCGATGTGCATTCCACACAGAATCATAGAGAGTCTGGTTTGTTTAATAACTTGGCCTGACTAGGTTTAACTCGGAGATACCTCGCTTGGGAAAACTTACAACAGTTACGACACGAAATACCCCTTTAACAAGTTTGGCACGTGATCCACATAAGTCTTTAGACTGTGGCACACTGGGCATGGTGTTTGTTGAGGAAATGTTACGAACCAGTTGAATGACGCACCCTCTATGGTAAAAAGTTGTCCTGTTACTGACGTTGTCGGTAAGGTCACAGTGTTCACGTTGCAGTTGTGTGCTTGCAGACTGTCCTCTCTGGCGTGCCAGTCGAAAGTGTCATCTTGAACGTGGGGCAGAATACACGAGGGTGTGATTGAGAATTTTCATGGTTAAGCCTATGGATCGCGTTGGGTGAATTTGCCATGAGACCTGTAGCTGCGCCAGATAATGTTAGATTTGAACGAGTGACAGTTCGTTCGAAAGCCGTTGAAATGATCTAGCGAGTGAGACCAAACGATTCCTTCGATGGTTGGAGTTAGGCAACTTTTGGCGCTTGGATATCGGCGAAACATTTCCCGGATTTTAGAATTCAGGGTAAAATTTGAATGTACTGGAGTGTACTCGGGAATATAGTATCACAAGGTGGAGCTTTTAAAAGCACGACGAATAAGTATAGATCCAAACGTGTGCGACAAAATGCCGCTGAGCCACAGTGAAAAAACCACGAGTGCACAAGTGAGCGATTTGCACGCACTTTCGCTCAATACGATTGTTGGGTCTTGCAGTATGCGCCGAGTATCTGGATTTCGATGCTTAATCTCGACGTATTCACGGTTTGCTTAGAAGAAAACCTTTGGTATTTAAATCACTGGGCCCGCATTTTAAGTGGAGAGTTTCGGAGATGCTCTCTCCCAACACTGCACTCTACGCGCGACTGGTTTCTTCCTAACTCATGGTAGTTGAAGACCTACGTTTTGGTCACTAAGCCAGAGCCCCCCAAGCAGCGCTTGACACAGCAGTCCCAGTGATCGAAATTGCAGAGCTTCTTTGTAAGGCAAACAGGCTCCAGAAGAGACTCCGTGTCGCAATCCAAAAACACGGCGGGTAATCCAAACACATAAATGAACCTCTAACCTCATAGACCGCTTTTCCTCTTTTCTGAATTACTCCGACTGTTGTGTTAAACATTAACAGACCTTTCTTCATTTTGCCAATGCTAATGCCATATTTTGGCAGTGGTTCTGTTACTGGAAATTTTACTAGACAGAGGCTGTTACTCAGCCACTTTGTTCATAAATACAAGGCACGCATCAGGTCCTAGTTTAAAGAATGGGGTGGTCCATGTAAGCAGGTCAAACCGCATCCCATGTGATTAAGCGCGGAAGCGGAGGAAGTTTGTTCGACAACGCATTGTACTTGCAAGTGGACGCAATGGGCAATGGGATGCGCACTTGGGCCAATATTTGCCGACATCTACAGGAGCATGTTGAACGACGACCTAGTGAAACCACTTATTTCCACTTACAAGAACGTTTGTTGTTACATTAAGAGTGCTCTAAAGGCGAAGCTCAAACGTGTAATTTGACAATTAACTTACTTGTAAAACTAGTTGTAACCAGTTTGAAATCTATCATCAGAATAGTGTATTCCCCAGCCAAACCACGAGGTCTGCATACAGAAATCCTTACACATGATTATCAGGTATTGTATGTAGCACAACGAATACGGAGCTGTTGTTGAGGGTCATTTTAAAGTGCACGTTGTGTGGATGGATTGGGACATGCAATCACGATGTTGACGACGATTCCCATTGAAGTGAACCTTGGTCTTTCTATCACGAGGACAGTAGCTGAAGCAAATAGAAATCGGGTGCCGCCCAATGTCTATTAACTATGAGCCGAGCACCGAAGTGCAGTGGATCCAGTTGCCACGGCTCACACCATAAAAATAGCAATAAATAACGCCGACAGGATGGTGGGGTTAGGTGCAAATAGAATGTAGAAAAAATGAAAGCCAGAAGGAAATGCGTTATACAGAAATTGACAATCAGATGAATTATACGGAATACAGAAACAACACTAACTGCGTGATTACGCTTCGTCTGACACGGTATCCAACCGTTGGTGTAGATCGTCCCGAGGCTTCAATCTACGAAGACGGCAAGCACCAGCCTGAGCAAGTCTGCCTGTGAAATTTCTTCAAGCTTCTAAGCTATGTCATAGACTGGTAACCTTGCGGATTCACCCAACTTGGTGCGGCCAGTGGATTATAATACAAGCCGAGGAAGCCCATCAACGGCCATACGGAGCATATGGCCTAACAAACGCAAGCGACTAAGATTTGGCAAACACTTGAGAAGCGCCAGAAGGCCTTTTAACAGAAACCAACTGCCGGACCTCGGGATTACTCATGCGGTGTTCCCACCAAACGTGAGTGGTACTCCGCAAGCAGCGGTGATCAAACACTGCTAAACGTTTAAGGTCTTCACTGCCAACTGGCCAGGTCACTGATCTGTGCATTAAGACCGGCCTTACCACAGCGTTATACACCCCACCTTTCACTGACAAGCTGATATCCCGTTATCTCCATAGATGGTTGCGCCTATGAAAAGCCACAGACGCCTCGTTGATAACAAACTAACTTCCCCAATGTTGTGACCATCATAGGTGACGCAGCTACCAAGGTAATTAAAACAATCCACCACTTTCGTTGACGGTTCGGAAATCATCATCATCATCATCATCATCATCATCATCATCATCATCATCATCATCATCATCATCATCATCATCATCATCATCATCATCATCATCATCATCATCATCATCATCATCATCATCATCATCATCATCATCATCATCATCATCATCATCATCATCATCATCATCATCATCATCATCATCATCATCATCATCATCATCATCATCATCATCATCATCATCATCATCATCATCATCCTCATCCTCATCCTCATCCTCATCCTCATCCTCATCCTCATCCTCATCATCATCATCATCATCATCATCATCATCATCATCATCATCATCATCATCATCATCATCATCATCATCATCATCATCATCATCATCATCATCATCATCATCATCATCATCATCATCATCATCATCATCATCATCATCATCATCATCATCATCATCATCATCATCATCATCCTCCTCCTCATCATCATCATCATCATCATCATCATCATCATCCTCATCCTCATCATCATCATCATCATCATCATCATCATCATCATCATCATCATCATCATCATCATCATCATCATCATCATCATCATCATCGTCATCAACATCATCATCATCATCATCATCATCATCATCATCATCATCATCATCATCATCATCATCATCATCATCATCATCATCATCATCATCATCATCATCATCATCATCATCATCATCATCATCATCATCATCATCATCATCATCATCATCATCATCATCATCATCATCATCATCATCATCATCATCATCATCATCATCATCATCATCATCATCATCGTCATCATCATCATCATCATCATCATCAGCATCATCATCATCATCATCATCATCATCATCGTCATCATCATCATCATCATCATCATCATCATCATCGTCATCATCATCATCATCATCATCATCATCATCATCGTCATCATCATCGTCATCATCATCATCATCATCATCATCATCATCATCCTCGTCATCATCATACACTTTAGCTAGAGGTGGGAAAAATCTCAGCTACTGTGCTGCAATACAAAGAAAAAAGGAGAAATAAAGCAACTGGTGCAAGCCGGCTGAGCTACCGGTAACGGATGGGCATCGTTCTGGTAAGCTACCAGCCGGCTAATGTGCATCAAACAAATTACTCTGCAAAATTATATAAGGCTAAATAATGAGATTGTGGTTGGAGGGGGAGGCTAAGAGGGATGGGGTGGGACAAAGAAACTCACAGCACGAACGCCACTGAGGTCGGCTCCTTGCCATGTCAGCAAGTGTGTCCAGCCAAACGTGTTCATCGTCTTTCGGACCCCAACCAGGGAGCCGAGACGCTCCAACCGATGCCAGCTCAGAAGTGAGGGCCTTCATTCCTCTCGACCAAGTCATCGCTTGGCCACCCATCCTCTTCTTCCATCCACACTCCCGGCGCGCAAAAAACGCACGTCGCGGGTGTCGGTGGGCTGGCATGCGTAATACGTGGCCGAGCCATCTGAGCCTGGTGCGGGAAATAACGGTGCTGAGCGGTTCATTTCTTTTTCCTGTGCCATAAACAAGGCGTCGAACACGCTCGTTGCTCACGCGGTGTTCCCACCAGATGTGAGCTAAATTGCGAAGGCACCGGTGGTCGAACGTAACTAGCCTCTTCATGTCCGTTGCTTTAAGGGGCCAGGTTTCACAACCGTACAGTAGGGTCGAACGTACCGCTGCATTGCACACTCTACCCTTCAGGGCAAGAGTGATGTCGCGCCGGCGCCATAAGTGGCGAAGGTTAACAAAAGCGCCCCGAGCTTTTGCTATACGGTTCGTGATCTCATCTTCAATCCCACGGGCGCTGATACAACTTCCCAGGTAGTTGAATTTTTGAACGACTTCTAGCTGATCCCCACCAAGGGTCAGCGTAGGAGGCGGTCCAGACCAATCTTGGAGAAACGCTTTGCACTTCGAGGGTGCGAAGCAAAGCTCGAAGTGACGGACAGCTAGTGCTAATCTGTCCAGTGCCGCTTGGCACGTTTGTGAGCTGTCACAGATGAGGGCAATATCATCAGCATACTCTAAATCAAGAAGTCGTTCTCCTGGGAGCAGATCCACACCTTCTAAGTCGTGTCCTGTAAACGCGATTTCCATGACTTCGCCAACAGCGAAGTTAAAGAGGAAAGGTGACAGCGGGCATCCTTGTCTCACACCGCTGGAGATATTAAAGGGCGACGACAACTTGCCGTAAGCCCTCACTCTGCCCGAGCTACGCGCATATAATGCTCGGATAATATTTACATATTTCTCAGGTACACCTTTCCTGAGTAGACAGTCCCAAAGTGCAAGTCTATCCACCGAATCGAATGCACCTTTAATATCGAGGAACACGACAACATTGGGCCGCCAATATATGTGACGGTGCTCCAACAACTGACGCAACGTGAAGATGTGGTCAATGTAGCTACGACCTCGACGAAACCCGGCTTGATCTTCACGTATCTGGCTTTCACGCGTGCCAATCAGTCTGTGAAGGATGACAGAGGCAAGCATTTAGGAGGCAATGGAGATCAGACTGATTCCTCTATGGCTGCCGCATTCCGATCGTGAGCCTCCCTTGAAAATTGGGACTATAACGGAGCGGCTCCAATCGGTTGGGACAGTTTCCTGCTCCCATAGTTTAACTAGCAATTCGTGTAAATAATCCACAAGAGCAGGTCCCCCGAATTTGAAGAAGGCTGGAGAAAGGTCATCAGGTCCCGCGGCTTTATTTAACTTCAACAGTCCGATCTCACGTTCGACTTCTGAGCAAGAGTGTGGATCCAAAGGGACAGCCCACGGAGCAGGGCGATCAGTGGCCGGCGAGAAATCTGATTCCGACCGATTAAATTGCCTTTCAAAGTGCTCAGCCTAACGCTCCAAGCGTTTTGACAAGTTGTGCATAAGCTGTCCACTCTCGTCACAAATTGTTTCACTAACACCAGGTCTCCTGCTGCCCGTTTCCCATATCAGACGGAATAACTTAAGATGGTTACCAAGGACAGTGGCCATTTCCATATCTGATGCACGATGAGACCACCAAGATTCGCGGTCTCTCTTCAGGCTAGCACGGAGTTTTGCCCGGAGCTCTTTGCGAGTTTTATCGTGTTCGCTTCCAGCCGGAATATGCCGGCGAGCATCGATAAGTTCCAGAGACTGTGAAGAGACCCAATGTCTATTTTGGCGATTAGACATACCGCATGAGGATTTTCCTGCTGCAAGTAAGGTCTGGTGAATATGAGAACAGTGACCTTCAATTGCATCCAGTGAGCGTTTATCCAACTTGCATGATAGCGTACTTTGATAGGCATTCAGAACAGCTGGCTTCGCCAGTTGGCTGGTGTCGATGCGCTCACAACGTCGTCTTGGGCGTCCGCCAAAGCGCATCCGCAGGTCAGCACATACAAGTGCATGATCGGTGTCCACACCTGTACTCTAAATCGAGTGACAGTTCTGGATGGAGCCTCTCCAGCGGTAACTGATTGCAATGTGATCGATTTGCGTCCAAGACTGGTGGGTGCCAAGTCACCCTCCGGCGGGTGCTGTGTCGGAAATTAGTGCTCGCAAGAAATAAGCGAGCATCCTCACACAAATGAAGTAACCGCTCACCGTTTTCATTACGGGAGCCTACACCATGTTGGCCGCCTAGATGCAGCTCATCAGTGGATAATTTTCCAACTTGAGCGTTCAGATCCCCGGCCAGCACTACAGTGCCCGAGCTTCTTCTGTGGCTAAGGAGCTCGTTCACTTGACGATAGAAGTCGTCTTTTACCGAGTCATCGCTACAGTTTGTCGGTGCATAGGCAGCGATAATGAATAGACACCTGTTAGTCCCACGCGACTTCGAAGTTTTGAACGAGCCAGCCAATCGGACCGCACATATCCGGCTACTGATTGGAATCCAATCAATCAGAGCAGTTTCAGCCCGGGGACTCAGGGCAATACCAACACCAGCTTGGCCGGTGCTCGAAGCTGCATCGTCACCGGATAGGCGCAATGAGAAGGTGCTGCTAGTGTCACCTAAAGGGGATCGCAGAGTGAGCACAGAGCTCGAGTCTTGCAGGCGGGTCTCCGATAAGCAGCAGATATCGATGGAGAGGGTCTCTAATGTTCGGGAAAGTGCTGCCTGTTGACCGATCGGAAGCAACGTGCGAAGGTTGAGGCATGCCAATCTGAAGGAGGATCGAGGGCTCCAAATGGAAGCCCATGAACTGGGCTTGACCGCTTGGTTGGACATGGGCCTGTTGACAGGGCAGGAATGACGCTCCGCGTTCACATGTGAGTTGAAACTAAAAGACAAGCGACTATTGAAGCAAGGTGAGGGAGGGCCGAGAATTGGGGGGTTGAAAACAGGGGGGATAAAAGTGAAGCTGTAACGGGACGATAAGGGTGAAAAAGCGTAAGAGGGGGAATAAGGAGACGGGAAGGCTTGAGCAGTAGCATCCAAACCCCTATCCACCCTGCTTGATGCAGCAGATAGGGCACCGTTGATTATCCTCTGCGGTGGCCAGAGCACCAGAAATTTGTTTGGGGAAGGATTCATTGTATTGCGTGGGCAGGATACTGTCAGGTTGCCCATGCCTAGACAGGAGAATTATTAGGGTTCTCAACCAAAGTCTTTGGTTCAATAACCTGTCCGCAAGGCAGCGGGTTTGGCACTGGGCTACAAGGAGTCCGTTTTAATGAATAAGGAGCCACCTACTTTCCAACCCCCAACCTGGAGGACCAGGAGGCTGAGTTTGTCTGGCCTCTAACCATTGACCAACCTGGTATGAGTGGCTCTGAAGGTGCAAAAAATGCACCACCCAGTATATCTCAATGGATCACTGAGGCACACAAACCATCGCACCACGGTAAGGTCTAGCCTTATTGCTGTTCGGAAATAGCTAAAACCGGAGGTGTGTCGGCCCAATCCTGCGACAACACACTGCACTTTGGTGCAAAGTACATGTCGAAGCGTGTAGCGCTACGCACCAGTCTGTGCAGTCGTGTTTGCATAGCTAATACATCAAATCAAAGAAGAACTATGTCGTCCGCATACTCTAGGTTTGTCAGTTGGTCGCCCGGAAGAACTTTCACACCTGAATATTCTGAAAGCATCGAGTCATGCATAATCCTTTCGATCACAATGTTGAAGAGGAAAGGAGACATAGGACAACCCTGGTGAAGCCCACTGGTCGTGGGGAACACAGGAAAAATTTTCCCGTAAACCCTTACACTGTCTCAGGAATCACAGGAAAGGGACAGCAGAATAGAATGGAGTTTAGCTGGCACGCCCTTCGTGGATAGGCAGTGCCACAATTTGGGGCGCTCAACAGAGTCGAAGGCGGCTTTCCAGTCAAGGAAAACCACCATAGTCTGTCGTCAGTACGTGTGCTTCCGCTTTAAGAGTTCGCGAGGAATAAATATGTGGTCGATGCAAACACAGTCCTCACGGGGACCAGTAAGCCATCAAAGAATAATACCCGTGAGATGCTTGAATGCAATGGAAACAAGGCTAATGCCTTGATGGTTATCGTACAAAGTACGTTGACTCTAGTTAGATGGGCATGGTAGTTGAGAGTAGCAATTCTGAAGGCACTTCTACAGTGTCACAAATCGTACTAAAATGAGATGCAAGTCCAGTCAACAAGAAGTCACCACCATCATTCATCAAAGATGAGAGTAGGTTGTCGGGTCCAGGAGCCTTGCTCGTTTTAAACACGGCGAGATCACGTCGAATCTCCTCCAAAGTGGGACGTGTGTCATCTACGTTCCACGTAGACTCAGGGGATTTGGCAAATGGCAGTGTTGCAGCAGGCATGCTGAACTGCTCCTTAAAATGTTTCACTCAACGCGTAGTCGACGACCTTGAGAATGGATCAACTGTACATCTTTCTCAGCTCTTGTCTCGTGTTCCGAATGAGCTGGATTGACACTCGGTTGTTTCCAGTAGCGATGTCTTTCTCCATCTCATGTGCCTGCGTTCCCAGTCTATCTGAAGGTTTCTTTTTATACGTCGTTTCAGAGTTACGGATACGCTGAAACTCATTGCCCATCGGAACCCGTTACGCGCTTCAGTCAAGATCATCGATACTTCGCGGGTCCAGTTACAGTCACGACGGCGTAACTATGGTGCACAGCAAGCGTCAAAGTCATTCTTCATGGCACATTGTAGAGCATTCCATTCAGCGTTTGGCTCACCAACTTTATTCATCACTGAAAATTGGTGGGACCGTTTGTCATGATATCGTTACACCGTAAGCTGCGAGTTCAAGTTAAAGGCAAGAGGCTTAGGGGATAAACGCACCATTTAATTGGGAAGGGTGAGCGCCAAGTGTGCGCGCACTAGAGCATGGTTGGAATTCAGGAATGTGCTCCAAATTGACTGACAGTCTTGGACTGATGTACACCACCTGCAGCTGGTGGCAATATGGTCAATTTGGGTCCAGGTCATTGAGGAATTCGGTGGGCACCAGGTGACGCAGTGTCAAGATTTCTGTTTGAATTTAGTGCTACCAATATAAAGATGGCGGTCGGCGCACAGTTACAGGAAGCGATCACCAATGTCTGTTCAGCGTGCATCGACTCCGAAGCGGTCTCCCAGGTGCTATTCAACATCTGAAAGACAACGCAATCGGGCATTCAAATCACCAGTAACAATCATGATGGCAGTATTCTTCGCCATGCGGAGAGGAGATGAAAGATGTAGTCTGCAAGTCATCATTAGTAGTCTATTCCACTTGCAGGAGAACCGAAAATAGTTGTTACTGTGAGCATCATGATTTTAGATCTTTTGAAGCTGCTTTTAAACAATAAATGTTCCGCATGAGACACAATCAACCGTTGTTAGAATTTCTCCCTAATATCAACCATAGTCGGGGTAGCGAAAATAATCAAGCGATACAGATTTGGACCGTCAGCTGAAAATGTAGTCTACTTAACTAGTTCACTACGTGTGAATATGGAGCGAATCTGCGCGATTTCCAATATATAATGCCAATGTTTTGGATAAAAACATTTCATCAAGATGGTTGATCCTTAAGGCGGACTCGATGGCGTTGCGAAAACGATTACCAGCATGTCTAGCTGGTGAGTCACCGTTTGCTATAAAGTACTCCGATCCTTTTTCAATTTGCTTCATGGAGCCGATAACTTTAAATGATAATTGATGTTGTGATTATGAACAGAAGCGACCAATCATCTGACAGTTCCTAGCATGTAAATATACACATTGATAACCAGTACGAGATGAGTGGCCGACCATATACCATGCCACACGGTGGAAGGAGACAAACAAAATCTGCCATTCTTTTTTCATCGTCCTCTAGGGAAGCACGATAGAACTGCATTCCACGTAACGCAATCTACAACTTACAGACGCATGCGTGCATTCTGTATCCTATCAAGAATGTGCATATCGCTCTTGAGTTTAGTGTACACGAAACGACATTGCTATCTCCTCTCACATACCTATCTTTAGCTAAGTTGTGCTCGGAGTTGCCTGATTGCATAATGCTTGATTTATCGAAACGGTTACGGAAATTTGCTGCGAATGATCTTCTCGTCCACGATGTGTATATAATTACTAAACTTGACCTAGTCGTAGCCGACAGGTGTGCTAGGATACTGCATTGTAAAAACTTTGGTATTTGATGGTATGACGGAAAATAAACCACTCAAAGTATTTGGGTTGCGACGACAAAAACGGCACTTCCATTTTTAGACTAAAATGCTTTGATCGGAACTCGCAAGTCATAGCCATAAGGATAAGGGAACAATGAATGGTTGCAATTAATGACAAGCTCCTATTTGGTGCTTTTGTAAACCCCTTTCTATTAAGACCCTTTCTATAAAGACAACAAATTCGACGGATATATCAGACACCTACATAAACGAAACCGGGATGTTTGTTAGTGTTTGAAAAACGTCCATGTCAAGCCAGTAACCTTTCCACTGTGTAAAGATCTGTCTAATCAGGTGTATGAAAGTACTAGTGTGTAAAATCATCCCACTGAGCACTGCGGCACAATGCGGTTGCCGCCAACGTTTGTCCTAAGGAAGAAAGCAAGTATAATCGCTGAAATATTGCTTTACTAAACCAAAAAATAATCACGAAAATTTGGTGTTTCCTCATTAGTGGTGACCAACCAATACTAATGGAATTTGCACGTGCTACCGAAAACTACATCATAGTGGCACCACAGAAGTGGGTGTCCACTTGATGCTTGCTTCCTCAGACTAAACGCCGTTCATCTAAGAAATTCATTTTATCCCATCAGCAGTGGTTCCAATGGTTACTCGTGTACAGCTGCTTTCGCTTAGAGTATAGTAAAAGTGACCTATTCGATTAAGGGTACGAAATTCATTCGTAACAATAATGCTGTTAGCTTTCACTAAGTAAGCAGCGATTACAGTCGCAGGTCGCTTTTCATCCGATAGCTTAGCCACGCCAGATGGAGCCAAGTAATATGTATAGGAAAATATTTTGCGAAATATCTTGTGAAATAACAGACGAACTGTTATAAAGGTAAGGGAATAGGTCATCTATCTTACTGGCATAAGAGTAGCTGAGGTTTGGAAGTGGAGACATTCTTCATATGTGCAGCGAAATGTTTTGTCGCATAATCTGCTTTCCCACTAACATATTCGGCAATGGTATTTGTAAGAAAAGGAAGGAAATGTTTTATATTTACTTTCCTGAATGGAATCCTCTGACGTAAACTTGCGAAAAATACATTATTTAACGGAGGAGTTGCTCAGGAAAATGGAAAACAGCAGATTTAATGCCAATCCGCCTGTGCTGCATTCTTGGGTTTGTCATCACCAATTTGTGAATAATGGGTTGGAACGGGTTAACATTTGATGAAACTTCAAAACACTACTATACTACTTGCATTGAATAGTCCACGCTGCTTGTCGGCTACTTCACCATCGTCATTTTCCATCTAGCCGAAGTGAATGTTCACAAAATTAACAAAACACGATGGTTATAACCTGTTGCTTGACAGGGAAAGAGCACATTTCCAGAGCCTAATTAAATTTAGCATGATTTCAACCCAGTCCTTAGAACCATTCGCTTTGTGCATAATGTTGTTAACATCGCCGTTGTGAAGTGAGAGCTCATCCAATTTATAAAACCAACAGGTCCGTCTCTAGTTTAGTCCTAAACGTTTTGGCGGACAGGAAACTCAACTGTAAACTCATTACTGACCTGTTCTTTTATCTATGCAGGAGATTACTAAATAAAATCAAGCTTGTTAGACGCACGACAAGGCACAGTTTTCAGCCTATCTACGGTGAACCAAGGTTCAAAAACCACACAATCAATGCCACGTACCTTAATTTCAAGCCAAATCGGGCGGTTAACGAAATTCCCTAGTGAATACGGTCATCAACAAACGACACGGTATCTGTCAGTCTTCAGTGCTAGGAACTTGCATTTTGTTGCCATCTTATGCCATCTTATGCCATCTTTAAACTATTGTTATCTTTCATACTGGTTCCAGCAGAGCTCGCAGCCTCTCTGTGAATGTATTATTGGGTAACATGACGATGTCTATCACACTGTGTGTGCATACAATATACAATTCGGTCAATGGGAGTTGAACTATTAATGTTTTTGAGGAACAAGACAATTCACTTCGTTATGTCCTTAGTATAATTGCATGCATATTCTGCAGACCGCTAAAGCAAGCCCAATATACACGTGGGTGTCCAAGTTCGTTCATTAGAATGATCCAATCAACATTTTAACCATGTAACTAAGTTCGTTTAAGTTTTCTTCATCATCTTTGAACGGTTTTGGGAATATTTTTTGACATGACCTGAAATACCGAAAAAACGATTGCGAGTTGATTTGGCTGCGCATTTCGAAACATACTCTGTATGATTGGATTGGGAAGCGTAATCTCATTGTGGACCGCAACTCGCAATGAAGTAAATCTTGATCAACATATCCCTTCATTCAAGCAATAGCCGTTGTGACACGTGTCGCATGCTGTGACTAGACGGCTAGGGGAATTTCGCGGACACCCCAACGACTCCGGGTTTGAGCGCCTGCTATCTGGTGAGATCATGCAAGTTCGAAACCGGTCGCGGAGTGCGCTTTTAGGGCAGGATGCACACCATTTGCATCAATCTAAAAGGTTGATGGTCATTATCATAAGTTCATAAATTATCCCCATTTGAGTCAGAAGTATGGTATATTTCAATGATTGGAATTGGAAGGGTTTGTCATTTGAAGCGGTATCGCTGATATACCAGATCTTCAATTCTTTCCATCACACAACCTTTCCTTCTAATATAATCGGGCACTTGAATACCAGTGTTCCCTCGTCACTTTCAAGTATAGTAGTAACTAACGTCTTTGAGGAGGCGCTAGATGCCTTTGCATAGTAAGTTTTACTACTTGGTCATACTGCGTTAGAAATAAACCAACAACACCAAGTGAGGCGGTGGCATGTAGTTAACATTTGTCATTGAGCCTCATTCCCACTGACCTTGCAAGTATTAAGTATTTTAGTGAGTATTTAGTTGTTCACTAGAAACTCATCATCTCTGACTACCATTCTCACTTGTATCTATCAATGTTTGCCTTCAAAGCCACTAAGCTCTTAGCCTGCGCCGCCAGTATGTCAGTGACGTTTACTTACATAAGGATATATTTATATACTAATCAATCTTTCTGGATGCCACAAAGCGGTAGTAACACAGTGGACTTACCAAATCCATCCAGATGATAGTAGTGAGGACTTGATTTTTTTCATCCTGTGGGACAGAAAACACAAAGAAATGATAGATCGGGATAGATCGGAGCGCACACCCGCACATGAAGTCTATTCTCTCTTCTTTAGTCTGAGCACCCTTCACAAATGATTTGCACACAACTCATCTACCGCCTGCAGCCGTGAATCACTTCAACTCGCTCTCAGCGAATTAACTGACGTCTTCACGGAATTGAAGGAGATGGATAGGGCTTCGTTTGCCTTAAGTGTGCCCACTTGAGATCGTGCGATTAAATGACCGAAGCATAAGTAACGGCAATGTCTGACTTCCCAGTGTGTTTGCCGTTCCTACTACGATTGAGGGAACAGGTAAAATGACCGCTTCGCATTCACGCAATGCTCGACTAAAGATTGTCACAACGACGTACTACATCAAGCGAAATAAAAAAAGTTAAATTACTCTTCAGATTGATTAGTTGTTATATGTGCCGTTATGCTGTATCACAAAGTTAATGTTATGTTATCAGAGAACCGGCTGCGCGTGGATTTTAGCTGTGAAACTTGTTTTCTTTTAATTAACAGAAAATACAAATTTGAAAAGTATCTATCATCACATACTGCCAGTAGTTGCCGTCCAAGGCTTTGAACTTTGGTGTGTATAGCTTCCGATTTACTGAGCTACCATAACACATATAGACGACGGTGAACAATTCCAAGTGCAAATATTATCCTGATAGATGAGCTTTACATGGCAAAATTTACGAACCGTCCAGATCAAGTAATTAACAGCTGATTATGCAAACTTAAGGCATGTCGAAGGTGTCAATTCAGCCTTCGGTTTTGTTAAGTATAGCGCCTATTTCGATCAATACTTTTGCAGGTCCAGTGTGGCATGAAAGAGTTTATTTATCTGAGCCAGATTATTCATGAACACACAGTGTTCTGGTTTATGCAATGATGTTGAGTTATCCGTGTTTGGTCGCTTCACGATATCTGCATCATCGTGTATATGCGAACACTGTCTATCCTTACTCATAAAGTATCGATTTCTTTTATCAACACTTTCATCCAGCTTCCACCAGAATTAACTGTGGGAATAGTCTTTATAGCTTTCACTTAAGACCGTGTTTATGATAGGCAAATGCTTTTTGCATACACAACAACGTAGCTTCACCAAATGTATCAACGTTGCGCAGCGTTAGGTAGGCTCCATTGTGTTAAACAGTTGACAGAACAACTACAATTGCACCATACAGAGCGACAAGCTCTGCTAAAAGCTGCTAAAAGCAAGCTTTTATTGTTGCAGCGATCACCTTTTCCAGCATCTTTAAGCCAACAGAATTGCATCGAGCACAGAAATCTTGGCGCTGACATGCACCGGCGAGGCTCAGCCAGATAACATATTGCTTTCGATTTG